CGTGTGAAAACAAATCTGAATAGCATGAAACTGTAAAGTGTATTATTCCTTTAAGGCCTCAGCGGGAGGAAGCGGCTCTGCGCTGTCAGAGGAAAAAGTGTGTCATCTTGTTTATTTTCCTTTGGTTTGCTGTTTTTTCCAGACCATGGGGCGCGATGATAACAAAAAAATATTGCGGGCAGCCACGTCCCCCAACTTTAAAAAAAGAAGTCCAACCAGGGACCCACAACGAGCAAGAGAAGAAGAAGAAGAAGTTACAGTCTGAGTGTTAATGACGGATCACCGCTGATCCACCTTGGCTTCGACCTTCAGACACAAATCATCTTTTCCCCCTCCAGACATCTTCAGACTTTAACCGTCCTGTTTTTTATTGTGTCTTAATTCTTTGGCGTCCCATTCCTTCCTGATAAAGAAACAAATTCCCCTCCAAAAAAACGTCTCATTAATCTGCTCTCTCTCCTCCTCCTCCTCCGTGATGTGTATCCACTGAGACTGAATAATATTTGGACAGGTGTTCCTTCGTCTCCATTAACTTCAAGGGGTCTAGTGTGCTGTTTCACTGCAGAACGAGGAAGAGAAGGCGTCTAACACCGCCGTCTCTTCTGTGTGTGTAATCCCTAACAATAAAAAACTGTTTAGCACCAATTTTCCTTTACTTTTAAACCTTTTTTTCTTCTTCTTTTAGACAACTGTGGAGGCCACATCTGGAGGACAGATGTAGTCCTACAGCCTGCTCTCTCTCTCTCTCGCTCACATTCACCACTTCTCACTCACTCTCTCTTTCTCGTGTCTCTCCCTCCTCCCTCCTCCTCTCGCTCCTTGGGAAACATGAGAGCTAATTCTCTCTCTCTCTCTCTCTCTCTCTCTCCCACCCCGGCTGGACCACCCACATTCGGAAACGCCCGGCTGTTCCTGAGGCAGAGCCGGCGGCGGCGGCAGCTTTTCTGGAGAGAGAAGGAGAGAAAGAGATGTAAGGATGGGTTCTGACTGACGGTTTTAGCAGAGTATCAATTACGTCAATGTCGAAGACATAACCGGCCATTGTGAAGCGAGGAGGAGGAGGAGGAGGAGGAGGAGGAGTTTCTGCAGCATGAATCCAGGGATTTAGCTTCTTGCATCATAGCTTTCTTCATCTTTAACATTTCTGACACTGTTTATAAAAAAAAAATGCATTTAGGGGAGAGCGGGGTCGACTGTCACACTTCTTAACTCTCTTTTGAATTACTCGTGATCCATTTATCTTACAGCAGTCGTTCCTGAAAGAGAAGGACGCTGAAATGAGTTTCCCTTTCATATTTGTAAATTATTTTAACAGAAAGTTATCAATCATCAAAGGTTTCTCTGACCCACTGTGATGATGATTGTCCCTAAAAAATATTTGATTTTAAAAAACTGGAGAGCTGGAGACACCAAATCTGTTTTAAATTTAAACCGTCTTGATGATAATAAAAATAATCAAAGCTTTTTGTATTTGTCTATTTGTTTGACTGATCCTCTTCGATCAGGTCAAATGAAGGCCTTCAGAGCTTTGACATTTAATCTGTGGGTGGGTGGGCATGTAGTATGTGTCAACAAAAGACTTTTAAAGTAGGATACAAATCCTTTATTGTCTATCACATTGTGACAGAAAATTACCTTTTGTTGAGGCTCAACATGAAAACATACAAACATTCACACTAACACTCACATCAGGTCATAAATAGCTAAATAGGTAAACACACATGCACAACATTTAAAAAACATTGCTTATCTAGCCTTGTGTAAAATGCAGATTGCAGTGTGAATGTTACGTTCAACATTTAGCGAGTGAGCGAGAGTAAAGCCACCAAGCGGTCCGGTTTGGTTCAGTCCAGATCGGTACGGTAAACTCTGATCTTGCTTACGTTTCCACAGCTAACCCGTCCCATTACACATCACTAAATCACTGCGGCGCGACAAAGAGTAGACAGCCGATAAATCCAACAAAGAAGAAGAAGAACGCGACACAGTAAACAAAAGATCAGTGATTCTTAGGAAGGTCAGCATCTCCGAGGTCGTCGAGCTACGCGCTGACATTTATTCTCTCCAAATCCACAGGATGTTTAAACACGGTGCGCTTTGTGTTCTTCTTTTATTACCGCTGTTTGCACAAGAAGTGACGATTCTTTCAACCAATCAGTGTGTCTAGCTCCGCCCCTTTAGGGTCAGGTCAAGTACGCTTGGCACCCTAGTTCAGGGTTAACCGTACGGAACTGAACCAAACTGTACTGAACCAAACTGAACTGAACTGAACCGGAGCGCTTGGTGGAAGCGGGGCTCATGTGAATTACATGTGACGACAGACAGTACCTGACCTCCTGACAAAGGTTTTAGATTACATGGTTTTAGCTAGCTCGCTGAAACTTGGCTCAAATCGACGCTCTCCCCCTCCACTTTTAAGTAAATGTTTGATTTAGAAACGACTTATCAACTGGAAACTTTAAACACAAAAATCTACATTATAAATGACCTCAAAGTTTTATGTTTTTATGTTTGCTTCACTAACTTCCTGGATAGAAATGAGCATGACATAGAGCCAAACATTTTATATTAACATGACACACAACGGGTCCTAAGACGTACTGAGACAACCTGATGTCGTCCCACTCTCCCTCAATTTTTATTTTGTTCTCTCCTGATTGATTTTAAACTAATTTTCCTTCACTGTACTGAACTGCCTCTCCATACCTGCCTGTTGCCTCCATATTATTCCTGTTATTTGCATTTTTACAATTTTGCCCTCTCTGTTGACCTCTGTTCTGTTTTTGCTGTATTTGCTTTGTCTGTCACAGCACTTTGTTAACATTTGTTTTTAAAGGTGCTATATAAATAAAGCTATTATTATTATTATTATTATTATTATTAACCGACCCCGTCTTAAAACTTTTGTAAATGTCAGACGTCCTTAAATTAAATTAAAATCTCCCTCTCATCATCACACCGGACACATGCATTTATTTCAGATTCAAAAACCTCAAAGGAACAACATCTGATTTTTATTATTATTATTATTATATTATTCTAGCTTTTATTTTCCTGATCAGCAGAAATCAGAGTCTGTCAGTTCAACATGTAGAAGTCAATGTGAAGGTCAGAGTCTCCCCCTTGTGGATGTTTCTGAGTATTACACAGTGTTCCAGCCGTCTTCACTGAGGTCTCAAACAGGTGTGAAAGTTGTTCCTCTCTGCTCACTGGTTAATAAGTCTCTTTCTGGTTCAACAATGTGAAGATTTGGTTGTTTTACATCTTCAGGTTTAAGTTTTAAAACCCGCGACAAATAAAAAGACTTTTGTTTATTATCACTACTTACTGGGAGCAGCTGTGGCTCAGTGGTAGAGTCGGTCTTCTCTCAACTGGAAGGTTGGGGGGTTCGATCCCCAGCTCCAGCAACCACATGTCCGATGTGTCCTTGAGCAAGACACTTAACCCCAACGCACTCACTTGGAGAAAAAACCGGGATAATAAGTAAATAAATAGTGAATCATGGAGCCATGTGTTGCATAATTACCTCAAGCTCAGGTAAATTAACAAACAGATCAAAATGTGTAATGCACAAGGAACATGCTCTCTGATTGGTTCAAATTTCTTGCGGTAAAACTCCCTGAAGTAATCAAAGACCTCCTGATTGGCCCGTGGCTGCTCCAAAAGACTCTTCACAGTTTCAAAACGGATGAACGTCTACACGGACTCTGCTCGTCTGTTTTTATCTTGTTTGAATTTATCTCTGTATGCAAACGATACAGTTTGAATATGAGGCGAGACTGAGGCTCTAAAATATTATGTTGATTTTCTGGAGTCGCTGAAGGCGTTTATCTAGACTTCAGTTCAGGAGAAGGAGCACGTTAGTCCTCCTGAACCAGGACCTGCTCATCCACCCAAACTGTTCCTGAAGCTCCGTCAGGTCTCTGGTCTTTAATGTTCAGCAGAGAGGGCTCATGGTGGTAACAAACAGAACCAGAGTGGTATAAAAGCGGACACAGACCCTCCTCTTCAAGCGGTCTCTGTTTGGTTGTTTGGTCCACAGCAGGGTTTGATTGACAGCTTTCACACCGCACTAACTTTGTAAACAGACTTGACTTTGTTTTGACCGAATCAAACAGGTAGCAGCCAAAGATGATTTCATGCTCATAACTTTATAAATATCTCGATGCTGACTTAAAAAAAAAAAAAAATAAGATGAACAAAAACCAGAAGACTTTTTCAAACATCCTCCATTTCTTTGACAGATCATCGATCCATGAAACGTGATTTCTTAAACATAGTTAAAGCATTTAGATATCAAATGTTTCTTTAAAGTAAATACTCTGTTCTGGTGTTTAGTGTTCAAGTGTTAATAATGTTGAGAAGACATTAGCCGCCAAGCTAATAGAGCGCCACAGGAATGAGTCCTAAAACCAGGAAGTAAGTTAGCATTTGAGCGCCATGGGGCCTAACGTCTAAAAGTCAACGGGGATGTTGAATGTGTTTGTGGTTAGACTCCTGAAATAAGGTCTGTGGTTAACACAAGCTGAAGAGATGTTGGTGTTTTGTTAGAGCACATAAACTACGTTAGGTAATACCTCCACTTGTGAAGTTTGAAGTTTTTACTCGTCTTTAAAAAGGCGGTTGCTAACAAGCGGCTAAATGTGACTACAGTGGTTGTCGGGGACATTAAAGGTCATCACGCCGGACACAGAGGGCGGGAACTCTCTCACTAGTCGGAGATGTCTCCTGTAGGTTTAATCTTTAGGTTAAGGTGAAGATTATGTTAGTAAACTATTTATTAAACTACGTGGATTAGTTTATCGGAGATCGTCTGAAGCATAACGCTAGTGACGTCACAATCATCCGACCGTGGTGTAGTTAGCTTTAGCATAACGTTAGCTTTTTACTTCTGTCGGCCGCATTAACGCTTCAAACATCATAAAGATGGCGTTCATCTGTGAAGATTATCCTGCTGAACAAAACGCCTACGCTTCAGAAACGTGTGTTTACCACAGAGATTATTTATTAATGATCCAAAATCCATGAAAACATCCCAGAGGAGAATTCTTGTTAGACGCCATGGCGATGCTACTTCCTGGTTGGCCTACGAAAATACTTCATCTGGTTTTTCTCTATTTCTCAATAACACAGTGAAGCGACTCAAAGGTGCATCTTAATACATGAATATAATAAACTCTTATTTGGTTTTCTTTGTCTTTCTTCTCCCCACTTCAGTCGCCACCGACCCCACAGTGGCGCCCATTATCCCTCCGAACGGCCCCCCGACAAACAGGCCGACCAGCGCCCCCAGCAGGGCCTCCCGTCTCACCAGTTTGGGCAGCCGCCTCACCCATCCCATCAGCTTCTCCCACCAAACCCAGAGGAAGGACTGAGAGGGGGAGGAGGGGGAGACGCTGAGGGAGGGGAAAACACTCTCCACATCCACGTCCAAGTCCTCCACGCTCCTCTCCGCCTCGTCTCGGACCGCTTCCATTTCTTCTTCTGTGGTGTTTTCCTGTGTAGGAGACGCCCGCCCATCCTCTCCTCTCCTCTTCCTCACCAGCTCCGCCTGTTTCTCCCTCACCTTCTCCTCCGCCTCCTCGTACAGACGGCAGGTGAAGTGTGTCGCCCCGCCCTCCTCCACCTTCTCCAGCAGCTCCTCCACCGCCCTCCTCTCCTCGCCGTCTCCTCCGCGGGTCTCCAGCGTGTGGTATCGGTCTCCGCATCGCCTCGCCAGCTCGCGGAGGTCCTTCCTCCACGTGACCAGGTACTCCTCCAGCCGCTCGTCCTCCTCCAGCTCCTCGGTGTGGCTGAAGAGCACGATGGTGTTGGTGCTGACGGCGGCCGGGCCGAGCAGCTCCTCCAGGACGTCCAGAGCTTTGGCCTCTTCGTCGGCCGGCTGGTTGACGGGGACGCAGAGCAGGAAGGCGTGCGGTCCAGGAGCCGATAAGGAGATGAAGGAGGAAATGTGACGTCTTCTGTCTTTGGGGTCGCAGTCTGAGCCGAACCAGGCGGGACAGGAGACCACCACCACCTGCAGAGAGGAACCAAAACATCAGACACAGGAGCAGCTGAAAAACTGAAAAACTGTAACCTCCACCATAACTCATTATTTATTAAAACTGCTATATAATAATAACGAATAATATGTCCATGATAACAAAGTGCAATATTGAAACAAACAGTGCAATAATCTTGAATATGTGTGAATACATTCCATCTGACTCTTATTCCTGTAAATATTTCTTGTACCTATTATTGATATCTTACTTACATTCCTATTCTATTTGATAAATATTTGTATTTCTATATTTCTACTGTTATATTGTTTATTTTGGAGCAACTGCAATGATTGAATTTCCCTCTGGGATTAATAAAGTTTTTCTGATTCTGATTCTGACTACGCTTAAGAAGAGTTTGAAATATATATGTTTATTTCTTTCTGCTTTTCAGGTCGTTAATGAATCAAACTGATGAAATCCCTAAAAGCACTGGCGCCAGAATATGTGTCCGAGTTGTTGCACCGCCATGCTCCAGTCAGAGCGACGTGGTCAACACACCACATGCTCTTGGATGTTTCAAGCTGCAGGCTAAAACCCCCGAGGTGACAGAGCTCCCAATCGGTGGAACAGTCTACATGTTAATATAAGAACTGCTCAGTCCATCAAAAACTTCAAATCTTTGCCTCATACCGCTTTGCTTTTAATACAATTTGAGCTTTACATTTTGAAATTTTTATTCATGCTCCTATTTGTTGTGTTTTTATTGTGTTTCATTCTATATGATATTTTATTTGTTGTGTTTTTGTACAGCACTTTGGTCAATCAGGGTTGTTTTAAATGTGCTATAGAAATAAAGATTGATTGATTGATTGATTGATTGACTGATTGATTGACTGATTGACTGATTGATTGACTGATTGATTGATTGATTGATTGATTGACTGATTGATTGACTGATTGACTGATTGACTGACTGATTGATTGATTGATTGATTGATTGACTGATTGATTGATTGATTGATTGATTGATTGACTGATTGATTGACTGATTGATTGATTGATTGACTGATTGATTGATTGATTGATTGACTGACTGACTGATTGATTGATTGATTGATTGACTGATTGATTGACTGATTGATTGATTGACTGATTGATTGATTGATTGATTGATTGATTGATTGATTGATTGACTGATTGATTGATTGATTGATTGATTGATTGATTGACTGATTGATTGATTGATTGATTGATTGACTGATTGATTGACTGATTGATTGATTGACTGATTGATTGACTGATTGACTGATTGACTGATTGATTGATTGATTGATTGATTGATTGATTGATTGATTGACTGACTGATTGATTGATTGATTGATTGATTGATTGATTGATTGATTGATTGATTGATTGATTGACTGATTGATTGATGTGTGTCTGTATTGAAGCAGATATCGAACATTTTATGCTTTGAATACAAACTGTTAGCTTCAGGCGTGATACTTTTTCTTTC